CTGAGGGAAATAGGAAGCGCCAGTCACCTGTTTGCTAATAATGTTGCGTGTGTTTGGCTAGTGATGGCTTTCTGCTCAGCTTGTGCAACATAATGATAGCCCTCTTTTCTTCATATTTGGTAGGAAAAGCTATAAACAAAGGGTGTTTTAAATAATGTTGTGTTCTGCAGGGGGGAATAACGACTGTGGAAAGTCCATATAAACTGCACAATTCAAGATTTGAGCATCTCCACAATTTTCCTGTGGCAATGGATGTGATTAATTCCCAATGACAGCACAGTGCTTGGGGTCTGCTGTTTGCACTGGTAGAACTGTGGACTCTATGATTTTTGCTATCACAAAATGAAGTAAGATCTTTAAAAAAAAATGACGGGAACCAAACCAAGAAATAGCCAAAGCACATCCTAATATCACTGTGAATAAATCCGGAAGAATAATCCAATATCATAAGGGAGGCAATGTAATCTTGAATGAAATGAAACCTGGAATTCAAACTCTCCCACACATAATGCCCGAGACGCTGTGCTGTGTTACTTAGAGCTGCTATCTGTGGGTAGCTGTCTATTGACCGTGATGAAACCTCAGTTCAGGCCCTAATTACTCATGGCTTGGTTCAGAGCCCAGTGCCTACTGGAGTGACTTGCACCTCTTTTTTTATGCTAGGTACTATGGGTTATTCTGGCTCCGAAGGCGGTCCCCAGGACTACCCTAAGTTGCCTTTCAGCTGCTAGGGCAGGGGTGGGCAATTATTTCTACTGGAGGGCTGCTTAATGAGTCGTGGTGAGCTGTTGAGGGTTGCAAAGGTATCCCTGTCCCTTGACAGGTGCCCTGCCACCTGATTGCCACATTTAACCCCTGACCTTTGCCACTGGAAGTCCCTTCCTTTGCCCCAGAAGTACTCCTTTTGGGAGGGAAGATGCTGCTGTCTTGAAACTGGAAAAAAAACCGCCAAATCATATACTAAAAAACCACCATCACTATAACATATTTTAATTTTATTTAAAAATATTTTGTCCTGATTTATGTATGTTTGCAAAGTGTATCTAGAGGCAATTGCATAATATCACAAAATACGGTCCTACTCTTGTATATTGTGTGGGGGGTAAGGGATGTATGGTATGTAGTTAGGGGTGGGAGCTGTGGGAGGGTGCGGGGTTATGGTGAGTGGGGTGGGAGTATGTGGGGGAGGGTGTGGTTGTGTTGGGGGAATGGTGGGAGGTTACGGTGCATGTGTGTGTGTGTATATGTGCATGTGTCGGGAGGGTTGGGTCCTCCGAGTCCCTGGGCTGTGCCAATCCCTGGAGCTGCATGTGGTGGCAGTGAGCAGGGCCAGCCCCACCTGGCCCCATATTGCACAGCTCTCTGCGCAGGTGGCCATAGGTGGTAGCAGTGTGCAGGGCCAGCCCCACCAAGCCCTGTGCAATGAAGCCGGCAGTGCAGGTCATGGGGGCTCAGCCAGGACAGCAGGGAGAGGGGCGGAGGCAGCCCAGTTCCACAGCATGGAGCTCCCTGCTATTCCCTATGACCTGCATGTAGCAGAGAGCAGGGCCTGGCTGCCAGCCCCATCGCGCAAGGTTCCCCCCAGAGTACATGGCTTGGGTGGACAGCATGCGAGCTTCATGTGATGGAGCCTAGTGGACCCCACACCCAGGCTTTGCTTTCCTGCTGCCCCACCCTAGGTCTCCACCAGCCCCAGGGCACTGGCGCGGGCCCTGAGCAACCACCCACCACTGCTGCCCCTCCCCCACTGGTGTTGCTTCCTTCACTGCCGCTGCCACTCTTCCACTGCTGCTTCCCTACTTTCCCTCTTGCATGCCTGCCCAACACAGCCGCTATCATTTCCCACCCTCTGCCACCGCTCCCCTCACCTGCTGCCACTTCCTGGCCCTCCTGCCTACCACTCTGGCTCCAGCCTGTTCTAGCCAGCACCACGCAGTTCCCAGCTGCATGGCTGGGACCACACAGCATGGCATCGAACCAACCTGGCCTGGCACAGGACGCATGGCATGGGCTGATCACAGTGGTTTCTTCTCACCCACTCCCTCCCTCCTCCCCAGGCCCCGCTAACTCCATGCCACATGGCATGGTATGGATCCAGTCCGCCCAACCCAGGTCCTGTGGCATGGACTGATTGCGGCAGTCCTTCACCCCCAACTTTGGCGACGCGTGGCGGGGTACATGGGTGCACGTGGATCCCCTGAGCTTGGCGGTGCGCCCTCTGCAAAAAGTGCTGCCAACGCTGCTGTCTGTGCCTGTGGGTGTTTGCCACTCACTATCTCCCCCCACCCCCCACCGACACCAGCGTGGCTTCCAACGGGAGCTCCTCACCCACCGCCACCACGCCCCCGCTGCTGCCACTGCCACCACTGCCTGTGGGCTGTCGCTGTGCCCCCCAGCCTCCAGGGGCACATGGCATTCATGACCCCCCATCCAATCTTATCTGAATTTCCACGTGGATGGAGGGAGGGTTGGCCAAAGGGTGGCCAAAGGGTGGCCAGGCCAGAAGCTGCAGAGCCTTCTGGTTGGGGGCTGGGAGTATGGTGGGGGCTAAGGGTGGGGCAGGGCTGGGTAGGCCTTGCCGCTGTGCTATTGGGTCCTGCTGCCACTGGCACCTTGTTATCTTTGACAGGCAGCCATGGGCAGATAATAATTCATTTTCTAAACTTTTTAGGGCCCCATGGGCTGGATAGAATGGCCAGGTGGGCTGGATCCAGCCCACAGGCCGTATTTTGCCCGCCTCTGCACCCTGAAACAACCTAAGTACTTTTTCTGCACTGAGGGATCCTGCAGTGGAGTCAGGCCAGACACTAATATGCCTGCCAGGGAAATTGCATGCATTACGGGTATTTGATCAGAGGGCTTCAGAGGAATTTTGCAGTCACTTTGTGTCAATATAGCTGGAAGAATGTGGCTGCAAGGCACTAATAGTAATGACTAGGCCTGATATCACTAGAGAAGCACTTTAGACATGAGCAGGAAATAAGCTCCCTTAGTGGCCACTATTGACAAACTAACATTGCTTTAATGTCATATTTCTCTCTTATAGGCCAAGTCTTTCTTCTCCTGCTCATGTGAATAGGCCCATTGACTCCAGTGCATCCAGTGAAGAAGGTGAGCAGGATTTGTCTTACATGGCACTTTGTGCAGCACTTTGCAGTGTAAACATTGCATGACCAGTCTGCTAGACCATACACTACATTAACAGTTTGATCCCCAAGGATCAAACAAGGTGAACAAAGCTTCTGGACTGACCTCCCGATTCCCCAGAAACCAGTTGCTAGGCAGCCAATACTTAAGCCGCTGGCATCAATACCTAGAAAGTTAACCTATCATGAACCTTTATATACAAATGAAGCCATGTAGAAATTGGGCACCAGAAATAAGGAACCTGATGCCTGTGCTGTATATTTCTTATTCCCTAAAAATAATGGGGGATGGGGAGAATTAAGTGCTTATAAAAATGAGGGACCCAAAGCACGGCTGGAAGCAGGTATAGGGTAGGTAGGTACTGTGACAGCTGCTGCACATATTTTGCTAATATGCTTCAGCCTCTAGCAGCACACCTGAATATCCTACAGCTCTAGGCCTCACAATTGTGTCAGAGTCTTTGGTACTTCTCTGAGGTGAATAACAGAGAGTCCTAGCCAGCATTTTATAAGCTGAAACTTTGCTTTTACAAACTGTTAGGACAACTATAAACAGAAAACAAATCAGCAGAAATTGTGACTTGCTCATCCATCATTCACAAACATAAATAAGAACTAAAATAACTGACTGAAATTTTCATACTGCAGTTTCCTGGGCTTTTTCTTTGATGCTGGAAGTGACTAAATCTTCACGGTTGATGGCTTTTCTTTTTTTGGCTGCTGCTTCAAGCCCCTCACAAATCACGTTGCTCGATTCTCCCTCCCCCACATCACATGGCTGTGTCTCTGCCTGACTTAAACTAACAGGGCTAACTACCTTTCTCTCTCTCGATAGTTGCCAGTCTAACCGATAGTAAGGGGTTGGTCTAATAAAAGGTATCATTTTGGAACCAACAGTTCTAGTTTTTTGTATGTCTTAACCGATAGTAATGCATTTATGAAGTCATGGGTCCTGATTCTGATCTTGCTTATAGCAGTTTTAGTCTATTGTAACTCCACTGGTGTCAGTACAGTTACTTCTAATGTATAAATAAAGAATAAATAGTAGCGGGCCTCCAATTAACTTTTTTTCATATGGTGTTCAATGCAGTAAACCTGGCTGTTATGATGTAGATACCACTAACAGAGAACACAGGCATATGTAATAATAGAAATAATGATGCTAGAGTTTTAATAAATTACACGTGTTTATAATTTTAATATTTTAATCATATTAATGAGTAAACTGTAAAATAGGGCTCGATCTTGCCCTCACTTAATGTCAGACATTTTTTTTTTCTTAGTTAATTCAATAGGAATCAGATCAGACTTGAAACTACAGGACAATTATTAATGCTCAGTATAGTTCTAGATGCGTAAGTTCCTCAGTGGGTTCTGACAGCCAAGAAATTGTAGCCATAGCAAGCAATTAAAGCACACCCTGTGCTAACTTGTGACCTATTTTAAACACATCCTTTCACATCACACCACTGCAACATTTGTATTTTCATATCCTGATGTGTTGGTATACAGGCAGTCCCCAACTTACAATGTTTCGAGTTACAACATATCGCACCTACAACACTTATAAACTGACACTCTGTTTCAACTTTCTGATGTCAGTTTCAACTTTACAATGCTCGATCCAATGGGTGACACAGCGAACTTGTTCACTGGTGTGGCATCACATCTCCCTGGAGAACATCTGTCTAAACTTCCTTGGACACTTTCTTTAAGAAAGCAGACAAGACTCCTGAGAGGACTTCAGCCAAAAACCCTTCAAAAAGTTCAGCAAAGTCACCTCAAAGAAGTCCTTCCAAATCAATATGATTGCTATTTACAATATAAATACATTAATGTAGCTATATTACTCATCTATAATTGATTGAGTACAACATTCTGGGGTACTTTTGATGAAAAAAGGGTATCAGGCCTTGGTTCAGGAACCAATCTCCATTTATAACATTGTTTCCTTTGGGAAAAATGGTTCCAAGTTACGACGTTTCGACTTACGACATGGTTTTCAGGAACTAATTGTGTCGTAACTCCGAGGACTGCCTGTATTATTGTCTATAGTTGAATCCTGAAGTAGCATTTTGAGCAGGAGGAGAGGTTAAGTAGCCCACAACAAAGTTGGTTTTTGTTTGCCTGTGTGAGTCAAAGCTTAAGGTCTCAAAGTGGTAGGCGTTCTGTTCTGGACCTCCACCCAGATCCTGATGCCATGGATGTACCCAATTACATCTAAAAATGTAATTGGGTACGCTGATTTCAGCATGGGTTGAGGCCTTATTTTACTACATCATTCAAACAGACTGAATGCTTTACAGAAACAAAGAGCACAAAAGAGTGGACAGCATGTGGTACAAATACATTGCACTGAGGCTGCTTTTGCTCGTACTGCTAGGGATGATGATCTTCTAGCCAAACCTTATTCTCTAACCCATCCACATTCAGTAATGGCAGTCACCCCCTCCTCTCCTCCCTTTGAAATTCCTTCTGCATATTCCTCCTTTCTCTCTTTCTAGTCTACTTTATGTAGGCTCCGTATCACCATCATGGCTATAGTGTCTTCCAGTAGAGCAATAATAAACTTTGTGAGTTGCATGTGTCATGTGCATCCTCTCCAATATCCAGGAAAGAATAGTCTGCAGCGGACTGGTTGTTTATGTACATACAGCTATGTTTTTAAATTGTAGATAGCAGGGCATCCTGTACTTGAAGCAGTGTGCACTAAAATCTGTGATGGTAATTAGGCTCTATGTAACTTCTTTCAGTCTTGAACCAGTCCCTGGGAAAGCTGTTTTATGCCTTTATCTTAAAAAAAAAAAAAAGTCTGTTTTGCCTGAAGAGCAAAGTTGCCCGCCAGTGTCCTTGGAGATTTAAGTGTTCTTTTAGATTAGCGGGCCTAGGCAATTGAGCACCTTGCAAATGAGGAACAGGACCTTGTCTAATCTATGTAGTCTTTTGCCTCATCCTCCTTTCCATAGTACCTCTGGGCTCTTATGGTTTCTTTTCTGTGCAGATGACTGCTAAACATGCCTCTGTGCTCCCAGCTCCTCACTTAAGTCTCCTATCCCCTACTGTCTTTCTGACATTTCTCCCTTGATGTCTTGTTGTCAACTTCAGTGCAACATGAGCTGCTTATAATTCTCTTCCAATTATTTCCCTTTTCTATCATAGTGAATAAATCATGCACTCTTGATATTGTATATAATGCCTCTCACCTCTTCTGTCATTAGGTGATGGGCTAATCCTACCAATTCCTCCTCTCCATCACCTGCATTTCTCCTGTCAGTAGCTTGTCTTTAATTTGATAGTTGCAGCTTTTTATGGAACCTCCTTCTCTTTGACCTATTTAATTCTCACCATGCATCTGCCTAGGCTTCTGCCAAAATCTCACTCCTGTCCAATTCCTCCGTATGGTAGTATCACACCACCTTGGGAGGGCAATACAAGGGTGTGCAGGTAATCCAGGAAGTTTTTGGAGAGTACAGGGGACAACTTCCTGATGCAAGTGCTGGAGTGGCCAACTAGGGGCCGTGTTCTTCTTGACCTGCTGCTCATAAACAGGGAAGAATTGGTGGGGAGCGCAGTAGTAGTTGGCAACTTGGGCAGCCAATGAGCTCAGGTGATTGAGTTCAGGATCCTGAGGAAAGGAAGGAAGAAGAGCAGCGGAGTAAGGACCCTGGACTTCATAAAAGCAGTCTCTGACTTGCTTGGGGAACTCCTGGATAGGAGCCTCTGGGAAGCTAGATGGAGGGGGAGAGAAGTCCAGGAGAGCTGGCTGTACTTTAAAGAAGCCTTACAGAGAGTGCAGGAACAAACTATCCTGATTATGATTGAAGTTCCCCAAGAGAACCAGGGCCTGTGATTGGGAAACTTCTGCTAGCAGTTTGAAGAAAGCCTCATCCACTACTTCCTCCTGGTCTGGTCGACTGTAGCAGAACCCCACCACATCACCCTTGTTGCTCTCCCCTCTGACCCTAACCCAGAGACTTTCAACAAGCCTACCTCCAGTTTCATACTGGAGCTCTGAGCAATCATATGGCTCTTTTACATCAAGTGCAACTCCTCCTCCTCTTCTCCCTTACCTGTCCTTCCTGAACACTTTATACCCACCCATGGCAGTGCTCCAGGCATGCGAGCTCCCAAGTCTCTATTATTCCGATCATGTCATAGTTCCCTGACTGTGCAAGGATTTCCTATTGGATGCTTACCTTACTGGGGTCATCTGACCCCAGCTGACTTCCTGCCCTTTGGGCAGGGGGCTGCACCCAATGATCTTGCAAGGTCCCTTCCAGTCCTAATGTCTATGAAACCTTACGCCTGCCCTGGCTATTCTCCGAGTGTCAACTCCGTTTTTTGCTCTGCACAGTTCTGCCTCTACCTACAGTTCCCGTCTCCTTCCTCAACTTCCTTCATGCTCCGCTGACTTTCATACCTCAAGACTTTCTCCCATATTGCTTTCCCACTGCTTTGAAGGAGCTCCTGGCCCTGTTCTCCATGCAACATTCACCCTCCACTCCCTCCTTTTGTGGCATTCCTTGAGAGATTTGCTTTTCAGTGTTGACCTTTTCCTTATTTTTTAAAAGGAAAAATCACAACCAACCTATGGAACAACCTAACTTAAGAAACGGCAGCATGGTGTATAAGTAGCATCAGAAACAACCTCCTGCCCTTACACAGTGTCCCTCCCCCTCCTTGTCTCTTATCATCATCTGTCCCTTTACGCGAACCTCGTCTGCAGGCCTCCCAACTCAAGAACCTGTTTTTATTTCTCTGTCAAGTTCCTTGGGCCTGTAGGTAACAGCTTTATCACTGCAGGTCCCTCATTAAACATTTAAAACCAGAAGTTTCCAAATAGAATTGAATTCAAGCCCTCACTGCAAAATGGCTTTGGGAGTCTGTCTCATGGTAGGCATTGAATTAAAAAAAAAAAAAAAGGAAATAAAACCCCAAATCAGAGCACAAGCCCAACAGAGAACAAGCCCAAGCTTTTTACCAGAAAGAGACATTTCCCTGAACTTAAATCCTTGCACCAGGCACACTGCTGAGGAGAAAAACAGCTCCCTGAATGTAAGCAAGGGGCTCTGCTCTGGGCACATGGAGCTAATTGTTGGAGGCCGGTTGTAAAGCAGTGGTTCTCAAAATTTTTGTACCAGGACCCATTTGTAATCACCAATGGCCAGTCCTAACCCAGGGCCCCTCACTTATAACCCACTACGCCTGCCCCCAGCCCCTTGCAGGCTGGAACTCTGCCAGCTTGCAAGGGAAAACCCGGGCTCCCCGTGTGTTTTTCCTTTAAAAGTTTGCTCCGGCCCCTTTCATGTACAGTCTTGCAATCCACGGGTTGAGAAAACGTTGCTGTAAAGGACGCTGATTGCCAAGCTCCGTGGGAGGTTGCCCACGTGTGCGAGAGGGCAATGCCCTGAGCTGCTTCCCGGGTTCCCTCATCCTTGGAGCTCCTGGTGCGGCTCGGCCCCACGGCTTCCCCCGCGCACGGCGCCGCTCAGCTGCACCGCGCGTTTCCCGGGGGAAGATGAAGCCGTGCCGGGCGGGGGTTCATTCTCGTCAGCCCCTGGGCCTGGGTCCGGCCACGCTCCGCTTCTCTACATTGGAAACCCGACGGGACTCGCGGGGAGCAGGGCACCGCCGAGCGGGCACCCCCTCCCGCGCTTCGTGCCGCCGCTCGCGGGGCGTGCGTGCGCTCAGCCCCGGCTATTCCCCGAAGTGCCAGTGCGGGACTGGAGGCTGAGTCACGTCCTGCCCGGCGGGGCCAGCCTGTGCTCAGCGTGCCGAGGGACGGGCTCTCCCGGGTTGAGCCGGGGAGGGGGGAGCCCTGCCCTGCCCTTTTCCTGCAGCTCCTGATCACAGCGCTGCGGTTCCTCGCCTTGATCTCATCGCGGCTCCGCACGACACCCTCGCCCTGAACCTGACATCGCCTCGCGTGAGAGCGCGGCCCGGCCTCCGCCGCCCGCGGCCCCCCCCGGCACGCAAATCCCCGGGCAGGGCTCACGCAGGGGAACAGCTGTTGCGAAAGCTGGAGCTGCTGCTCTCCCGGCCCGAGGAAAGGGCTCTGCAGCGCCCGGCGCCGCGCAGCCCACACCGGCATCCCGGGGGAGCCGAGCTGGCACTGCTCCCCTCCTCCGCGTGCTTTGGGGACGGGGCAGAGCTGCTTTTGTAGCTCCATTATTGGGGGGAGCGGAGGGCTCCGCAGTGCAGCTCGTCGGCTCGCAGCTCGGGTTGTTCGGCAGGGAGCTGAGGGCTCACCGAGTCCGAGCCCTGCTCAGGCCGGGGCTGTGCGTGCGCCACCAGCTGTCTCCGCCCCGCCCGC